CATGTTTAAGAATATTGGAGGATATTCTGGGTCACTCTGTTGTGCAATTAAAATCAAAGAGCGGTGCCCTGAAGTAAAAGAACGAATTGAAAAATGCTCTGGTTTACGTAGAAATGTAAGCTCTATCATTTGCAGCAGAGTGTTTTCCTCTAAGATTTAGGGAAGTCAAAAACCGGTCAAAATATCCCATTTTGATCTTGACTTTATCTTCGAAAAAGGTGTCGTACACAGATATTCGACTTTGAAATATCTAAATAAAGCGCTTTTTGAGGAGGTAACCCCTTACAAAATTTTTTAAATTTAATCTTAAGCGTATTGATTCTCGGCTTTTGTTGTGGAAATTCATTTTCTTAGCAATGAGTTGATATGTTTGGACGATTATAAAGTCACGACTCACATAGGCTGCTATCTTAGGAGGAATGTTTAAGAACTCATTATTTAGGTAAATGCTTTTAAGATATTTTTAATTTCTAAGTTTTCGGTAAATAGGTTGAACGAAATCCGTATTTATGGACCAACAAAGCAAAACTGTGAAATTCGTAAAGTGTTCAACAGAATGTTGGAAACAGTTTGCTCCTCGTTACTAACTCTCGGAAATAATTTTTAAAAAATGTGACAAACGGAAATTTCTTTCAACATACACAAAATGGTATGAATTTGATTACAACTACAACCGCTATCTAACTTTATAGTAAACAGCCAGCCTATCCGTGTGCGGCAGTCAATGTATTTTTATTCCGCTCAACAGCCGGGATGTGATTTCCATAGTAAATCATTTTGCAATTGTCAATAGAAATTGATGCAAAGCACGCAGGAATCTTTTCGTGCATTAAAAACCGAATTTTTTCCGAAGTATCTACGTTTGGGAGAAACTGTACTTAAGGTGACCACATCCATTTCTGACACATTTAGTGCAAGTTTAAATGTTACTGGAAAATATTTACTTTGTAGAAATTTAATATTTGTATTTATTCTGTATTACCTTGCCATTCTTTTCCATTCCCATTCCTTAAACCCACTTTTATTGCACATTGGACCAGTAAATTTTCATTAAGCAATTAACTGTCTTAGCAGAGTTTTGTGAAAATTACATCTTTTTATGCTATTAAATAGTAATTTCTCAAACAAACTCTGACTTATTTTTTCTTGCAGTTTTAACTTTACTGCTATAATAGTTTGGGGGCACGCCGCGTGAGCTGATTTCGCGCAAAATGATTTTTATTATGTTTTTGAACTTATTGCATCTGATTGTGCACTAACTGCGTTTCTGCTCGACGTTTACATCAAAACCTTTAAAATAAGATATAACTTAATAGCATTTACCGACAAAACGAGCTTTTGGATATTAGGTCTTATGAAGATGGCCATGCAAATCATATGTGGAAATGCTTAAAAATAGCAAACCACATTGTCTAGCATATAAAATATCTGCTAGATACCACGCATATTATTATTACCAAGATTAATAAAAAAACTTTCCATAATAGCATACCTCTTAAAAAAAGTGCTTTCATTGGATATTAAGCTGATGCAATTCTGTGTATATTTACTTTTCCCAAACTAATGTCACAGGGGAATTTGAGACTTTTGAGAATTTCTTTGTTTTATCTGAAAAAAAGATTCAATTTGACTGAAGATGAAAGAACATACTTTTCTCATTATAATGGATTATTTTCAGCTTAGTGAAATTAATTTCACGACCCGTTATACACTTGTGAATGCAAAAAACAGGCCATATAAATGACCGTCTTTTGTAATACCTATTATTCTTCTGTTTTTTCTGTTTCTAAGTAACGCTTGGGCGGAACGCATTGTTTACAAAAACTATGTTTTTACATGACCTAAATTCAATCAGGCCTTCTTTCATCCCCTTTCGTCGTAACATGTATGGCAAAGTTTGCTTATGCGCAAGGTCGGCGGTGAGGTTTAAAAAAAAACGCGACGAAACTTTTTTACTGCATTATGTGCAAAAAGCTTCACGGAATAGCTAAACATAATTTTTAAAACTTCAATTCTTGCTTGTTTCTGAGAATAAATGCGATTCCTTAAACTTGGCTTT